CTTAAACATTTATATCAAATATATTATTACTATTTTACATATGTAATTATATTTTAAATTAACATTAACAATAAATAAACTCCTTTTTGACTTTGACACTACAGTGTATATCTGGTTGCATATACATATGGCTGACTTATATATATTTATAATTATTAAAAAAAAACTTTTAACATTTATTATATGCTAGATTCTAAAAAATACCCTCATATAATTATTTTTTTAATAATATTATCTAGTATATAACTTATAAATTATGTCTTTAATTACTATTAAAATAAATTTATTAACTAACAGTGTATATCTTGTTGTATATACACATGGCTGACTTAAATATATTTCTATGCTAATTTATTGTATTTCTGTTCTCATTACAATATATATATATATATATATATATATATATATATTATATATATATATATATATATATATAGAGAGAGAGAGAGAGAGAGAGAGAGAGAGAAGGAAAAAATTATTGTTTCCGCATTCGTTCTTTCGTTCCATAATTCACACAAGTCCAAAAATTCAGATTTCGAAAGCTTTTTTTGATTTTCACGTAGCCACTACATTAATTTATCATTCCAATACAGAGCTTAGTGGTACAAAGCAGCATTTGTTTAAAGGTTGTAAAAGGTTCGTGGTGTGTGCTGGAAGTTTCAGTATAGTTCTATGTTTTGCGATTGCCCGTTCAATTGTAGTTTTGTTAAAATGGGTAGATCATCGAGAATTATAATTAATGATCTTTGGTTCAATATTTCACAAAATTTTATTAACTACTTCTGGAAAATATTGGTAGTCATCCAATCCTTTTACGATCATGCATACAAAGTATTTGGTATGTTATGCTGTCCCTTCCAGCCCGACAATAAGTTGGCTTCTTGAAAAATAATTAGTGGTGGTAGTAATCTACCGAAAGCTGAAATACATTCCAATAATAGATATTTTTTTTTTGAGCCCTGTATATTACTATGAACTTCTGCCCCTTTTCAGCGATAAGAAGAATCAGAAGTAAAATCCATAAAACAAAAATGAATCGTTGGTTGCCGTTCGTCTATTTAATTCTAATTGTTCCATTTTCTTTTGACTTAACTTTTGACATTTACAAAAAACACGAAACCAGTCGTATCCTGGTTGGTTATTTTTAAATTAAGTTGTCCTGTTATTCTCATTTACAAATGATTGGACCATTTCTAAGATTTCTTGTTTTATCATGGTAAAACTCCATTTGGCCAAAATTCTAATTTTTTCCGCCAGGTCATGCTCAATTTCGGTTTTTGACCTTGTAGTTGATTGTGTTTTTTATGGACCCGCCTACTTAACGTGGATTTATTTATTTTAAAGCATTTTGATGCCATTTTTAAACTAATCTTACCTTCTTTAATATGATTTAATGCTGCCTGAAGGTCTTCATGTTTTGCTAAAACATATACAATGATTAGTCTCATTTTTTACCTTACCTTGTCTCATATTTACCCTAAAGAATGTCCCACTTTTGCACCTGTTAAACAATTCGAAGTAACTTAATTATGATTCAAGGCAGACTACAGCACGAAAAGGCTAACGACGATGAAACTATTCTCGATAAAATCGAGAATACATCTATAGTCATTAGCCCTTATATAGCCTATTATATCGACGGGTTTAGCAATTTAAACCGAATCAAACAGCGGCTCGAACGATAAAAGCTGGGAAACGTAATTTAAAATTGTTTTCATTTAAAAATGCATGCAAAAACTTATTTTGTCCTTTTTTTTAAACATAAAGGAATATTACGTTTATATTTTAACTGCTTAATAAGGTACATTAATGTATTTGCTATAGTTGATCATATAATATTAGTAGCAAATTTTTTTCCACTTTTTTCAGTATCTCACATTACCACCACATAACCCTATCTATGAATTTAAAAATCGGGGACAAATTGGTTCTTGCGCCTTAATAAAAGACTACTTGTACTATTTAAGCAGACATTTATTATAATATATTTTTACCATTGGTCAAAATATTAGCTATAAGTGCATGTAAGCACGTATTTTTTTTATTGAGTTAATGCCTCGACAACTATGATCATTGGCATGGTACAGTCAGGTACCTAGTGTAGTGTGTGTGTATGTGTAGAGTAATTGTCTTGATACTTAGCAAAGTCGACGTCATTGTCTTTGCTAAGTGACGCTAATTGTATCCAACGTCTGCGGTCCCTCTGGTGAGTACCGATCGCACAAGGATAGAAATTATTTTTATTCATTAATTTTTAATAAACGAAAATTTCCACCCAGGTGAGATTCGAACTCACGACCTTTAGGTTTAAAGGTAGGCGGTCTTACCACTGACCCACAGAGGGGGTTATGTATTTATTTGACAAGCACCACATATATTATTATTCGGTCGTGTGATAAATCTACTTAGCTTTATAACCATATTGATGGATCTTATGTCTATATCTATTATTTTTAAAGTCATTTGCCCATAATATTTTTAATATTTTACACTTTTTTATTTTTAAAGTAAATTAATCAATAAATTACCGTCCATATAAATATTTTAACTAAAAATAGTAACCAGGACTATTAAATAATCTAATAGCAAGTAATAAACAATAATAATTAAAAATAAATACAGTAATATAGATAATTACTCTCATTTTAATGATATGTTTTAGTAGGTGTATTGTATCATATTTTTAAAGGTATTTACCTATTTTTGGAATTTTTAACATTTCTAAACTAAAATATTAGAAATATTAGGCTGCTGCATTTGAAATTATTCACCTTAAAAATAATTAGAACGATGTCCGAAGTGGAAATTGAAACGCAAATAAACGTATTTCAACCTTTAATTGTGGCTTATTCCCATTTAAATAGTAATTACTTTAAAAATGATGTGAATTATACAAGGCGATTCAATAATAGTATTTTATATCAAAGTTATGTTTTTTTTATTTGGACACCCCGTATTTGACTGTATTTTTAACTCTAGGGAGAACAACAAGTAAAGTTCTGTAATGTTTCCGATATCTATACCATTTCATTTTTGAAATAAATATGTGAATATTTCTTAATTTGTAAGCTTTAACAATTATAATCAAGTATACTTCATCTAATTTACTTACCGTTGCACGTCATTATCATTGACAGAGATCGAAGTTGACATCGTTGCCAAAGTATAAAAAAATCCTGACTCCATTTTAAATCAAATAGGTCACACAATTATTGCAAAAGTAGGTATTGCCATCTCTTTACAACGACTATTTAAATTCTTACGTGATAGTTTTGAAATAAAACACACTAATTTTGTTCTAAAAAGAACAGATTCTATTAAATAGGTAAAAATATAAAACAAGAGGTGTTTACTTTAAAATTTAAAACAATAAAGTACAAAAAGTGTGAACACCGCAACTGTCAAATAAGTGTTACCAATTTATGCCAAAATATCACCTTCGTTCGATTACTGTTACAGTGTGTTCCGAACAAATGTGCTTCATAAAAACGCTTTATAATGCATTTATACAAATTAAATGAAACATATTATTGTGTATTTCTTTAAGTTAACATTAATAGAAATCTTAACTAGGCGTATATAATGAAATATATCTAGTGGCTGTAATGCCAGTGTACTCGGCAAAGTGATTCTAAAAAAGAACACAACTATCGCCTAAATATTTCGTGTTGATATCATGTGACATTACGGACTATGATGCGGATGACGTGTAACGGTAAGTAAATTAGATGAAGTATACGTATAACGTGGTTATGTACAGCACATCAACAAATACTGGCGAAATAGCTAGCCAAGATACTAAGACATCAATCAAATTTGATTGGGTCAGAGTATATTTGAAAAATAACATCATCACATAGGGTGTTAAGCATAGGGATAATAACAACTCGTTATTATCAACAGGTCCTCGAAGACACTTCGTCTCAGGACCATTTTACCTATGTAGGGTCATACGTCGCCATGTTACCAATTCCAACGGTAACTTAAACATCATAATTTGTAACCACATATAATGTAAATCAAATGTAAATTTAAATCATTTAAAGGGTTTGGACCCATATATTTTGGTGGCTCATACCATGTATACCTCGTTTGCACTGATGATGGATTTAATAATCCGAAAACGTTTTGCAATATCTTTGTGATAGCCCGTTTGGGCATTTTATTATATACCTTTTATAAAGGATTTTAAATAAATTTTTTGTGATGTATGGTATACAGTCAGCTACAGGAACTTAGTTTCCTAGTGGAATTTTAAATATTAACTATTAATTAACTAAAACACTATTAACTATGGCAAATTCTCTCCTATTAACCGAATTCAGATACTGGCAAATGACTTTAGTCAATCTTATGATTTGGTGGATATAAAATTTGTCAAATTTTATATCCATCATTGTTTGAGTGAGTATGTTAGGGATCGAAGATGAGTGACCTTTAACTTGAAGTATTCATTACATTTTAATTTTAAGATTTTCAGGAAAATTTAATGTATCTTAGTTTAATCATGTGCTTAAAAAAATAAATAAATAAAACTTCCACCTCATGCATGATAATGCTCGTTCACATGTCGCACGCCTAGTAACAGACGAATTGCCAACGAAGGCATTGATGTTTTGCCTTAGCCAATACAATCCTCCGACCTGAATCTCATCGATTATGTATGGGATAAGCTTCAACGAAGAATTGCTCCACATACGGGTAATGTATACACGCCGTTTCGTTTCTGAGAGCGTCTCATAGAAGTATGGGCAAATGTACCTTAACAAATACCTTAAACGTACGTCAAATAATCACTACAAATCGATTAGTATGTATCCAAAGCAATTAAAGAAGAAATTACGTTGCTTTCTAAAAATATCTTATAAAAATATTTAACAACTTCAACAACTCTGCAAAAATATATTGAAATTGTTTAAGTCATAAATAAAAGTTTACAAAAAATTAACTTTGCACTTTCTATATTCTTTAAGTTCAATAACAGAGCCATAATAAGACGCTTCAAATCGTACTATTTTACCTCTTTTATATAATCGTAAGTAAAGGTCTCTTGTTCGGTAACTCCTTCAACCACACTACTAGTCGCTATTTGTTTATCAGTTCGAAGGTCTGAAGTGTATTCACCTTTGGATGTCATTTCTATAGGAAGAGTGGAACTGGCAATTGTAGCTCTGGTGTCGTCATCGCCAACCGATTTTCCACTTACTGCTATTTCATGAGTTTGTTGAGGACTTGATACTGTTATATCTTCTAAACTGGTAGGAGTTTCTTTAGTTTCAATTTCAAGCGTTTTAATCTAAAAATATTTGAAAAAAATTGACAAATTAGTATAGGCATGCGACACATTTAAAAAAGGATATTTAGTTCGTTACAGCATTCAAAGCAAATATAATAAAAATACATTAATGAAGGTAAGCGTTATCGACACAACAATTTAGCGATTTTACATCAAGTAAAAATACATTCTGTTAATTGCCCTACCAACTTTTTCCAATAGATCTATTTCTGGAGTAATTGCAAACATAAGCTTGCGCCTAAAACCTTATACTGTGTGTACCGAGCAGATATCTAAATCAAATAATTTGATTACATCGAAATCTGATATAAATAACATTGTAACTCTACTTACAATGTTTTTAACTATGGAGTAAATAACATTTATAAAGGATAACCTGTATGTTGGTCTGATAACTTTTATTCTATTTTATGTAAATATAAATTTATTCAACAAAATAACCACATTGTAAGTGCAAATTTTGAATCACTTGGTGGGAAAAACGTTGTAACAAAAGTTACAATATTGAGAAATTTTATTATTGATGAATATTTTTTATAAAAACATTGTAACATTGTATACAATGTTTTTCTCGAATAATTTATTGAGTAAATTTTTACAATTTCATTGTAAGTTGTGAGACAAGAAAGCAATGCAGTGCAATATTACTATAAATAACATTAAGTCAATTTACTAGGCTCTTCTTATCACGAAGACGACAGCCAAAAGTAAATTCTTTATTATTAACTGCTGAGCATAGTGAGCATGTCTTAAACAAACACTCGTGTGAAAATACTAATTTAGAATTGCAAATAAAAATAATAACACCAATACCATTTACGACCGAACTAACTTCTGCTGATAAAAATAAGGTACCAAATGTTCACAGTGCATTACATACTTAAGATATATCAAGAGCGAAAACTTCAAAGGTAAATTCGTCTGTTAAGAAAATAATACCAAAAGAAGAAAAATCTGGGAAGGGAGAGACAAAAGAGGTATTTGGAAAATGAATGTCTTAAAGAAACTGTGGAATTCTACTTAAGAATATACTAGTAAAATTGGAAAATTAACGAAAATGAACTAATGAGATAACAGAAAGCTGATTACTATTAAACTGGGAATAAGCCACAATTAAAGATAAAAATACGTTTATTGACGTTTCAATTTCCACTTCGGAAATCGTTCTCAAAATACAATCAGTAAATTAAACAAATTTTGTTTTTTGTTACATAGTGAAAAATTCTTCTAATAATTTTAATTTTATTTGACTCATTTATATTGACAATTCAGACATACATTATGCATTTTAAAGTAGATGACTTTAAAATGATATTGCCAATATTGTTGAGTTGCGCTCCTGGGACGACTTTACTTATAAGATAGTTCATTCGATTACATGAAATCAACTTTAACTCGAGAATATCCGTCAGAAAAAATCATATCATGTAATTCGTCTTTAAAAAGACAAACACATGACATGATGACAGTAAAATTCCCCTATTAGTGATTCCATAGTAAATTATGAGGGAAAACCAGGAAAAAACCTCATAATACTATCCCAACATTGTAAGTATTTGTTCGTGAATTTAGTTTACCTTCAACATCAAAATTCTGATTTATATGTACGTTATTAAAAAACATAATGATGTATGTCTGAATGTCAATATAATGAGTCAGATAAATTAAATTTTAGAAGAATTTTCACTATGTAACAAAAACAAAATTTTTTAATTTACTGTTTGTATTTGAGAACGATTTCGAAGTGAATTGAAACGTCATAACGTATTTTCATCTTTAATTGTGCTTATTCCAGTTTAATAGTAATTAATTTACAATGCCACAAGAAATAGCTTCAGAACAGAAGTGATATGACATAGCGATATTTGTGTAGATATGTTCTCAGACAAAGAGAAAGTTTGTAAGTTAAAAAGTGCAAAGAACTTGACATAGACCAGTTTCGGGTAGACCGCGTAAGATTCGTGGAAGCAATTTAAATGATTTAGTGGCTTTAGGACGACAAAATCCGTATCTAGGGTTTCGAAAATTAGCGAACAGATTTGGAAATGAATGAAGAATAAAAGTGTACCTAGAAATTGTTCGCATGTCACTGAAAAAGCAAGGCTACATATCAAGGAATCCAAAAACAATCCCTACAATGACACATCTGTAAAGGCAACGAAGAATAGATTTTTATCAACGTTTTCGAGAAGCTAATTTTAATAATGTCTTTATATCTGCTGAAAGTTGTGTCTAGCTTGGTACAAATCATCTAAAAGTCCTATCAAGAGAAAATGTTATTGTTCAAATTTCTAAATTTCCCACTAAAATAATGGTTTGTAGAGCAATATCTCAGCATGGTGTTAGACCTCTCTGTATAGTTAATGATGATAGTGCGAAATATTGTGACATCCTAAATGGTTTTCTTCTTAAAAGGGTTCATGTTTTATATCCAGAGGGGTGGCGTTTTCAACAAGATAATGCAAGATGCCATACTTCTTATTATACTTAACCTTGGATGCAAGAACACGAATTGGCAACAATTTCGTAGCCAACAGCATCTCCAGATCCTAGCCCCATTGAAAACATATGAGGACTGATGAAGATTAAAGTGGAACGAGCAGTGCAACGAGACAAAAAAGGTTTGATTCGGTCAGTTTTACAGGCCTTTAACACCATTACCGAAAATTATTGTCTTTACCTAGTTTCGGGTGTACCTGGACGTTTAGTTAAATGTTTAGATTTAAATGAAGGTTGTAAGTAATCAGATGAATTATTTGTTTAAAATTTTATAATATAAATGGATATGTGGTGAACTACGCTATTCAAAAAATTATTAGTCAGGAAAGTGGAAGCTTTATACCCGGAGATATGCGTGGTCGTCATTGAGCACAGAGCAAATGTTCTATATGAAAATATTAAAAATCTATTGGTGCGCGTTTAAACTCTATTCCATTAAAAGAATATCACTTTCGATAATCACGATATGCGCCAGTCGCAAACCCTGTGCTAAATTTTTTATTTAACAAAATCTGAAAACAATTGAAAATTTCTCATTTTTTTGCTCCTATTTTCATTTATAATTCGAAAAATATTGATCTTAGAGAAAAAATTATAAGTAGTTAAAAGTTTCGTTATTAAATTTTACACAATATTTTGTTAGCTAGAAATTGAAAATTTAATGGTTATTGTTGAAAAAATAGCAATAATTGGAAAAAAAAGTACAAAAAAATGAAGTTAATCCTTTAAATGTTTTCGACTTTCTAAACTTGACTTACAAGTTCCATATTCCGCCTAGAAAAACTTTTTAATATGTTTAAAACGTGTGCTAAATTTTGTTAAGATCGGTCGGATAGGTTTTGCATAATAATTTTGCAATCCAGCCTACTGGAAAAAAATCGCAAATTTTCAAATTCATAGTAGGCCCTAAATAAGGCCTTCAGATAGTTGCAATTTTTTTTACATATAAAGGAAGTCTCACACTTTCAAACGCTTTTTGTAAAATTCAAATCGGTTTACTAGGAAAGCCTATAAATTTTTTTAAAATTATAAACATTTTTTAGGCTTATAAACAAATTAAATAACTTTACGAGCTTTAAACATATCAATTTCAAAATGTATACACTTAAAGAACATTAAAAGACGCTTCTTTTAAGAAACAAAAAGATACATTCGGCTTACTGGTTGCCGAGATATTGAAGGTCAAAGTTGGTATACATTTGCCGTGTAACCATAAGTGATAGAGGGCTCGTTTTTAAACAAATACCCTCGTCTTGCCAAATACTTTTTATATGAAAAGTTTTACGTAATGCGCTTCATGGCAACATCCATAAAAAAGACAAATAAAAAACCGTTTTCGCGTAAAATGTCGCTCGGAATCCATGAGAGGTGGTGGTGAGGGACATTCACTTCAAATGTGAATCAGCGAGTATCAAGTAGGGGACCATCACTTTGTTTAATTTCGGGTTTTGAAATATAAACAAAAGTAAAGTGCTCCAAAATCTGTAAGGGCTTGTAAAGTAAATTGTTACTTTTAGTAAACAAATATGTATTTATAAATTGTTAATAAATAATTTGAATTGTTAAAACGAAGGAAATTTTTTTTTGTAAAAATCAAACATTTTAAAATAATTAACATTAAAAATAATTTATTTCTGCAGTTTTATCATAATAATGACATTATTTGATTTGAGAATATATTTTGATTCGAAAGTGACGTGTATATTGTATATTGACGTGTTATTATACTGCTGTGTAATGCTCGAAATTGTTTTTTTTTGAGCTTGCAATTTATACATTGAAGTAAATTGTTACTTTTAGTAAACAAATATGTATTTATAAATTGTTAATAAATAATTTAAATTGTTAAAACAAAGGCGAATGAAACAAAAATTTTCTTTTCATAAATAATCTTTATTTTGACTCAATCTTCAATAATTTTTTTTAAGTCTTTTTCTTTTTCTGGAAGGACAAGAATCTTCAGGTTTTATTTCTTCCTCAAAACCTTCATTTTCCATTTCAATATCTTCATCCTCGATCTGTAAATTTAATGTTTCTTCTCCTTCATCTGTAGCTATATCTTGTGCCTCCAAAAAATCTAAGGAATCCATCGACTCCATATCCATATCTCGTTCAACTTCTTCCAATATTTTATTGTGATCAATATTTTTACATGTTTGACCATTGCAGTGAAGACAATAGTCAGAACATTTGAGACCATGTTTGATACAACTGCATGTTTTTGTACAAAGTTTTTTACATTTGCAACTAATATTTCTGAATAATGAGTCAGGTAGTAATACTTGCTCAGTTTGTATTGGCTCAAGACCATTTTGAGTTAGTTCCCACCCCCACTCAGTAGCATTCAGGTTATTTCCAAGCCACTGCTGTACTTGGAAATATACACGAAGCGAGTGTTGCTCAGCTGCAGATTGTGTAGGTGGCAGCATGGACAATTGAAAATTTTTATTTTTGCAACCTTTTTTAAAGCACAAGTAGCGAATTTTATTCAATGTAAAATC